TCAACAATGCACAATTATAGCCAATTAAATAAGAACTAACCCATCAAAAACAATGAAATAGAGAAACATGATAACATTTTCAAAGCCAAGCATTTAATTGTAAGATTCATTCTAAACGCGATTTCCAAAAGACAAATCAGCAACTTAAACGAGAGAATATTAAAAAGAAGAATATATTTGTAAAATCTCAGCGAATGAATTTTAAGTAAATCCAACGTTTCGCCTGGCTATCTGGTCCAAGCTTTTTCAAGGAAAATATAATCAAACAACACAATTATCGAATATAAATAGGTACATGGTTCTACGGTTTACTGTACACTGAATAAGTCATCCAATCGACGTGAAGGATTTCTTTGTAGTATAATCAAACAACAAAATTATCGAATATAAATAGGTACATGGTTCTACGGTTTACTGTACACTGAATAAGTCATCCAATCGACGTGAAGGATTTCAAACCGAGGCAACTCTTGGTTTTATAACAAAATAGCGCACATACTGAAAGATCTTAACTTTATGGAATAAACTTATCATAACAAATTTCATTCACAATCTAATCAATTATTTCATAAATAGAAGTATTTCTATTTCATTCTTCAGTGTACCTATTTTCTAATTGCTAACTGACGATCCAGCATAAATACATAAAGTGAAGAGTAAGAAACATTTATCAACATAAAATGGGACTTCTTTTTACATACATTCAAAATTGCAGGACACAAACTAATAAATTATTTCGGCGAGACTATAATTTACGGACAAACCAATCAGATATAGGATAACAGGTCTTGAATTTTGGCACGAAATTCATTCACTTATTTGTCTAAATAGTGTTTCGGCATTTTAGCTGATGTCAGTTAGTAATGAAAACGCTAAATATAATTCCTAACCTTAACCATCAACTGTACATCCTAATTCCTCACACTAGTTTATAACTCTCATTTAGCCCTAGTTATTAGGTGGACACTCTCCAAATCACCTTGGCGTTGCTCAAAGGTCCTCCATAAATTATAAACCTACCATTAATTCTGTATGCGCAGAAAATAAGATTATCGTTGTGGTTAAAAATATGTAATAGAAACAAATGTTAGTATATATATTCCAGTCTGCATATCAGCATAAATTCGTGACCAAACACAAGTTTAGATTTAAGAATCAAGATGATTAAACCAAGAATAAGCACACACACATTTCATTCAATTTGTATTGTCACAATGATAAACGGATGCAGGTTGATTTAGTAAAAACACTAAACAAACATATAACTGTAATGTTTTTTTAAAAAAATCTGTTCTTTAAAACACGGTGGAAGTATTCAAATCATTCATGTTATATATATTATGGAGAGAACCACATGACTATAGTTTGTACATTCAAACAATGTTCATCATTAACTAAGGAATACTAAAAGTCAGATTTCGGAATGAAATGTGCGAATTAAAATGAGAATAATCACTGACACTAACTTTATGTTACATCCATAATTAGAAAATAAAGTATGTGCTGTTTATTTTCCAGAATTGAACTGACTTAATCTGACCAACGTATACAATGTGTAGCCATTAATCTAATTTATAACTTTACTATACAATTAATGTGAGAACATGCCTCGAAATCTATCATGATAGCCTAGAAAAACAATTACCCTTCATTTTGCAGTAAATGTTACGTCACAGTATTTAATACTCCTACTGACCGCGTTTCGTAGCCGTAAAGTGGAACAGAACGAACTGCTGCGCAGTGTACCCGTCCCTTAATTGATAGACGGATATCTCGCTTTGGCCATAGGTAACGTAAGTTGGCAAAAACCAAACCAGTTTTCTGAATCCGTCAACAAATTTCGCCAGACACCAACCGATTAGGGCTGGTCAGACTTCCAAGACAAGTGAAGTTGTCGATGCGCTCGACTACTTCACTCCCTATCCTTAGTTCAGGTGTTGATGCAGACCAGTCCTGAAGTAACAGCTTGCATTTAGAGGGGAGAAACGCATCCCAAACATCCTGGCATTGTTTTTCAGTGCCACCAAAAGACCCTGCATCTTACCAGAGTCTCCACAAAACAGGACAATTTCATCCGCGTACTCTAAGTCGATAAGTGGACCTCCTGGAAGGAGATCAATTCCTAAAAGTTCAGTCGACGAGAAAGTTATTTCCATCAGTGTGCCTATGATGAAGTTGAACAAAAATGGAGATAGTCGATAGCCTTGCCGAACATCACTTGAGGTTGTTAAATCAGATGAAAGTTTGCCATAAGCTGACTCGACTAGTAGTGCTCGAGTAAAGAGCCTTCACAATGTTTATGTACTTCTGAGGTATGCCTTTTAATGACAGACACTGCCACAGAACCTCTCAGTCAGAGTCGAGTGGTGCTTTTACGTTAAGAAAGACCACCACTGTCGGACGCTGATAAGCATACCTGCGTTCGAGAACCTGACGAGTGGTGAATATGTGGTCGATGCAACTAAAACCAGGTCTTAAGCCAGCCTGATTTTCTCGTGTTTGCAGTTCACGAGTCTTAGTTAGGCGTCCGATAATTATTAAGGCTAGTATTTTAGATGCTATGTTAGTCAAACTAATCCCTCTATGTTTATCACAGGATGATTTTGATTCTTTCTTATATATTGGGACAGTAAGTGATTGCGACCAGTCAGATGGGATTTTAGCTAAAATGTTAGTTAACCTCAACGCTAAAAGTAGACCATCATCCGTAAAGACCTCTGGAGCCAATCCACCTGAACAAGCTGCTCTTCTTCGTTTCAGATTAGCTATAACTTTCTGAACCTCAGATAGAGTCGAGGGACCTACTTCAATGTTTCATTCACGCTGTCTGGGAATCTTGAGTAGTTGTAGAATAGCTGAAGGTCAGCTGAACTGATCCTTAAAATATTCGGCCCATTGTTCTAAACGTCTGGACTGAGAGCAGATAAGAGTGTCGTCTTTTTCCGAAATCACCTCACCTAAATTCGACTTAATAATTCCGGTTTCTTTTATTAGTCTGAGAAGCTGTCTTGTGTTACCTACAGCCGCTGCCTTTTCAATCTCTTTTTCTTTCGTTGCCCCCCACTGTTCACAGTCGTTCCTTAGTCTTTTGGCTAACCAAGATCTGATTTGTATTCGCTCGTTATCGTGTTCAGAGCCTGATGGGATGAGTTTACGAGAATCTATCGGTGCTAGAGACTTAGCAGAAATCCATCGGTTTTTCGTGACCCTTTGGTTTGAATCACTAATAGATGGAGCTGCTGTTTCCACAGCTGTTGGTATATCTTTCCAGGTAACATCTGGGTTGCCTCGTTTTCATAACTACCTAGGTATGACCTGAGTTATTCCCGGAATCTACTTTCGGCTTCCTCGACTTCAATGGGTCTTCTAATGTGGTTTTCATGCGTCCAGAGAGGCGCAAGCAAACGCGTGCTCGTATTAGAGCATGATCGGAGTCCAAGCAGGTGTTCCAGAACGAGCGACAGTTTTCCATAGAGCCTCTCAAACGAATACTGGTGGCAATATGGTCTATCTGAGTCCATCGTTGATTCGGTGCAGGGGGTCGCCATGTTAGACGGTGTCTCTCCTTATGCTTAAAATTAGTGCTTCCTAAAAATAAACGACTGTCTGAGCACAGTTGCAGCAGACGGTCATCATTATCTGTTCGCTGAGCCGGAATACCAAAATACCCATTTAAATGTCTTTCTGTTTGGTTTAAGCTACCTACCTAGGCATTAAAGTCACCTGCTACGGGTGCTATGTCTGAACGTTTAGCTTCCTGAAGAAGTTCAGAAAGCTTTCTGTAAAAGTCGTCTTTCACACTATCCGAGCTACAGTCAGTGGGAGCATAGGCAGAAACAGAAAAATGCCTACACCTGTCAGTCCACGAGAACTAGCCATCAGGTCGCCAGATGCACGAAAAGTGTATCGCACCGGCTCTCTGTTTCGGCGAGGTGAATGACCACACTAGGATCCTGTATGCGTGTCTCGGAGACAACATACACCAATGGTATGATATTCCAGGGTTTTAACCAAGGAGGTTTGCTGTCCGATTTGATATAGGGTGCGTACGTTGAAGGCTCCAATGTGTAGTTTGGAGCGAGGTTTCAATAGACCTGGAACAGTGTTTCGCGCACTAGAATCGTTGACCATGGTGACACTATCGGAGGAAGTCAAAAGAGTAGGTTTAGAGTTGAAAGTCGGTGTAGGAGGAATAATAGGAATTGAAGAGGAAGGTTGATTATGAATACAGTGGTCTTGAGTGCTGTTAGCGGTATGAGGGCGGTTATCACTTCCCGGATGCCCACACCGTGGAAGGGTTGTTGGATTAGAGGCGGTCTTAGTGACCTGAGAGCGTGACCGCAGTGCCCAAGGGACAACTGCTTGAGGTCGGTCACACACGACCTTTATATGGGTAATTTTTGTGTTAGCTCCGTAATTTTTGGGACCTTACCGCCGGAGACGGATATCCGTGGGATAAGGTGAGGTGTGTATTTTTAGGGTCGACCTTTTCTAACCCCAGCCCTCCTTGTGGGAAGGCAGCATCGCTGTTATGCTGGTTGTCTGAAAGAAATAGTTTACCACTGTCACATCTCTATATAGTCAGCAGTACGACTTCGCCTTCGGACCATGAGTTTGCTGCTTTTATTCTTACCGCTCTTCAACCAACCCGTCTGGCATGGTAGGACCTTGAGGAACGATTGTCCCAGCTAGTATAGCTCGACTGGTTCATCAAGATAGGCAAGCTCGACCACCACGTCAAGGTAGCAGCAACGGTCATATTATAGCTCCTCTTTTAAATTTGTTTGTTAGTTTAGTATAAAGAAGTCAATAACAGAGTAAAACATTTTCTTGTTTCCTTTTTTAGATAAAAAGGCCAGACTATCAACGTCATGTGTCAGTAGGGATTAATTAAATGAATTATCAGAATATTTGATCAATGTCACGACAAATAAAATTTCCCAAATGACCCCAAGCACACACATCAACAAGAAACCAATATATTTTTTAAAAGAACCTACTTTAACTGTTGAATAGGCAGAACCAACTTTATCATTCAATGATTTCACAACCTCTGAATTCCTTGAGTAATAGAAAGAGGAGAACAAATAACATTGCATGATCAAAGAAAAAGTGAAATTGCAACCCTACCGAATAGCAGATATTGTTGATCCGACTTTTTCTTTAGCATCTTGGGCTACATTGACGGTCTTATCTTTAGCTTTACTTAAAAGTTCGCTTGTTTTGATATATCTGAATCAAATTTTAAGAAAAAACGAGGAAAAGCATTAAAGGTAGTCAAAAAGTGAGAAACCACAGTAAACAACGTTAACATAAATACCTATACTGCTAAGTTGATGATATTTGACTGCTGACAATAAGAATTTGCAACTTTCTAAAGTTCAACCAACCTTACGATTACAAAAGTAACAAATATGTAGGTGATAAACATATTATAGTAAATCAATCACTAGATCTAGGTTAAATAGTTGGCGAGAAAGTAGGTCGATAAAAACAATACATAGATTGGTATATATGTGCATCGGCATATATCACCATACTTCACAGTGATGGAACAATACGAAGAAAAATGAGATATTAAACAGACAATATGACTGAAAAGGAATAAATGAAATAAGAGAATGGGTAATGCCGAACAATCCAAAGCTCACTTAATACAGCCAAGCCACTGTGATGGAGACAAACACTGGGGAAACATCCTTTTGCTCTATTGTAGTACGCTTTGAGAAGAACCTGGACCTTTAAAATGTTTTGGTCTTTGAGAACGTTGACAGCTATGCAATCTAATTTAACAATCCTCCTGGCGAAAGACTAGACTATGGTAAAAACTTTATTTACTTGTGGTAAAACTTTTATTACGAGGATATTGATGAGGAAACTGACTATAGGGGAAAATAAAGTACGAATGAGAGAAACCATAACCGAAAACTTAGGACTTTACGTTCAACTCACAAATGACCTTGTGAAGACTGGTATAGTTATAAAAAGGCTGTAATTAGTTCTATAACGGTAGTATATATTAAAAGAAAACTAGGGAAAATCAGTAAACTGACTATATATATATAGCACTCACGCTTCTGTATCTTCCAATTTATGAATACCTTCCATGAGGTCATACTGCAATGTAGAAAGTGTGGTAAAACCAAGAGCCTTTTTTATCTCGTTAGATCGGCGCTGCTTAACAACAAGAGTTTCTTGAAGGATACGAATTTCTTCTTCAACCTACAATATGAGAGTACATAGGAGGTGAATTCATACTAAAAATAAAACTACAGGCCTGAAAACGGATTAAATATTGTTACTACATAAAACATCGTTAACATATAGTAAATAACTGAAATTAGTGAAAAGGTACCTCAGTATTTGAAGTGTTCATCTTTTAATCATAGGATTTCAGGCTCGAATACTGACCCAATTAAATCGGTGTGGAAGACAAGATAGTAGTATTATATGCCCTTACAGAAGTGACTGATTGTCAATTAAACGAAACCTTACTTCCTAAGTTATACTGTTGTTATGAGAATCAATCAGCAGAAAATCTTCGCATAATTATTCAATCATATGAAGTTAAAAAATTGTAATTACATAGGTTCTATTGTATTCTACACTTTACTACTTATGAATTCAGTTTTATATGCAGTAAATACAGTGAGAGAAGTTAATAAGTGTTTCCTCGTCTCTGCTATGGAAAACCATTGGCATGTGAGTTTTTTAAAGATCCTATTTAGATTTAAATTATTTGACATGAGGCGATACAAATACCAGTTACATAACTTAGTATGAAAGTGTATTGAAGAAAACACTCTGAATGGAAACTATTTATGTTTAATGAACATAGTTACTTAATGTAATGGGGAAAGAAGACTGGCGAAAATTCATTTACATTTATTATACGTCCATTAAGTGTTAAATTTTTTTACCCTTCTAGTTAACAGTTTATGAGGCCATAATTCTTATAGTACTACCCTTTGAAACGAATTATTCTATCAGCTAACCAGAAACAAATAACTACATAACTGATCTTGTATTTAGACGTTAGTAGGTCTGCAGTAATGTAACCAATTTCGATCCATATATCGAATTCGATTTTTAACTACTAGTTTTTAGTATTTTGAAGAAACCTACCTTTACAATGTCGACATAAAACTGCACACAAAGCGCAAAAATTCAAAATACTTCACTTTTTAATAAATGAGTAAAGTTAAATGCCGTCTTTAGGCCAAAGGCAAGTACTTGACGAGGGATGACAACTGAAACACCTATTTAGTCTCGAAAGTTGCTTATTACTTACAGATCGTTAGTTTATGTTTGGCAACAGTTAAACTAACCAACGTCCTTTTCGAGCTTGATAAGTGAGGACTGATATCGAATACTGTTGGACTTTTCGCCATGTTGATTCTGGTTACTGTTACTTGGTCACTAAATATACTAAGGCAATCTATTCTTCAGCTGATTTTCTTCCCCCATGGTATTTGGAACCAGATGAAGCGAGATTAGATAGAATTATGAAGACCTACTACCTTTTAGTGGATTTTGGTCAGGTTAAAGCACTTACAGTCTATGTACACACATTTGGTTACCTCGTTTTACAACTAAAAACATGGACTCTAGATATGTTTTCGAACACTTCTAGGACACAAAAAGAAACATTTATCCAAAGATTGAAACACAGATGGTATTACATGTTTTAGTATGAATTATACTTAAGTGAAGGCTAGTGACACTTGCCTGAACAAACTAGTACACAAAGTGGGGTTAAACCTGTGACCTATTGATTCATAGTCATATCCTCTATTCAGTTAACAAATGACAGAAACCCGCATGAACCAATAAGAATACCATTATATTTATAAACAGCAACCAAAAGTGTAGTTTTGTTAGTCAAAATAGCAAGCCAAATCAAAGAGTCGTAAACTAAGCTTAAGATATCATGATCTATTTCTCGTTGTGAGGGTAAAATAACAAGTACCAGAAGAACCTAATATTTTTAACGTTTTAGGGGACGTTGACTTTGCCAAAGAAAAACACTACAAATTACCTGAGACAATTCAACTTGTAGCCTTGCATTTTCCTCATCTGATAAAACAGGTTGATAGTGCTTATTTCTTGGGGTACGACAGGAGCGCTTGGGTCCATCATTGATGTAGTTTTCAACTTTTGGTAAGACTTTGTTTTCAGCTAAGAATTACTATTTACTGGGAAAGGGTGAAGACCAGAGAAATAATCTATAAAAAAGTCAAGATATGAAGTGGATCGACTGCTGAGTATGCACATAGAACGTGTTAAATAATATTAAAAGCAAATTATTACAATTGGTGAGGATACAAGCGAAAGATAACGACAATCTGAAAAACGAGACCACAATCTGGGAGGTCAAACCGTTGTCGACGCACCGTAACCCAACAGCAGTTTTGAGCGCTTCCCAAATCAATATCCAAATGGTTCAAATGGTTGTGAACGGAATTGAAGAAGCTTTCGCTTAACAGGCTTCCGTGTCTAGTAGCAGGGGATCACCAAATCCTCCAGGCAGGAACCTAGGTATGTTAACAATAAAAGAGGAAAAGAAATTGGTAAATCATAGTGTGATGCTGTCCTTGGTCCTTAAGAATAGGTCAAGTTGCCTCTTGAAGGACTCCTGAGAAGTCGCTTGGACTAGCTCGGCTGGCAGCGAATTCCAGCTTTTGACAACTCTTAAGGAGTAGAAGTTGTGTCTACATTCCGTCTTGCTATGTTGTGTTTCCAGTTTCTGGGTGTTACCCCTTAGGTTATTATTCGAACTAAGCTTAAGTAGGTGTTTAAGAGGATGTCCAGAAGTGTTAAGAATACTATAAGCCATTAATAAATCACCTCTAAGACGCCTATATTCTAATGGGTAAAGGTCTAGTGAACGGAGGCGTTCTTCGTAAGGTTTAGATTTGAGTCCTCGAACTGATTTCGTGGCTCGCCGTTGGATACGCTCCAAAGTGACCTTGTCCTTTTGGAGTGAGGGAGGGAGTACTATGTTTCCGTACTCTAAATGGGGACGGATGAAACTATTGAAGATTGTGTGGAAAGTTCGTCCGTCAAACTGTCCAAAAATGCGCTTCAACGTTACCAGTGCAAGGTTTGCTCGGAAGGCATTTTTGTCACAGTTAGCGTAAGACTTTAAATCATGGGGCACCAGGACTCCTAAATCTTTTTCGACTTGGGATACTACTAGAGAGGAGTTTCCTAAGTTGTAACTGTAGTTTGCGACATGTCGCAGATGGACTACTTTACACTTTGAAGTGTTAAAGGTAAGTCCGTTATCGTCTGCCCAACTTTGAAGTCGAGTCAGATCCTCCTGAAGTGCCTGTATATCGTCTTGGTTGCGTATCTCTCTCCAAAGTTTCACGTCGTCGGCAAAAAGTAATAAGTCTGACGTTACCTGTTGAGGAAGATCATTTATGTAGATCAAGAAGAGAAGAGGCCCTAGTACTGAGCCCTGGGGGACCCCACTAGGACATTCCATAGCCTGAGATAAAGTGAAATTAACCCTAACCTTAAAGTGTCGATTTTTCGTGTATGAAGTAAGCCAATCGATCAGAGGTGGTTTGAGCTAACTGATAAGACACAAGAAATTTAAGGACAGTAGATAATCGTTTAAACCGTCGCATATCAGGGACTCCATGAGTTTTGAAGGTAATGACAGAAGAGCCACCGGCCGATAACTTGAAGGTTCATTGCGTCGACCTCCTTTGAAAATTGGTGTGATGTGAGCCAACTTCCAACTTTCCGGTAATTTGCCTCGGCTTAGCGAGTGTGAAAACATCACGCTAAGCGGCGTTGCCAGGATTGAGGCTGCCTCCCTCAGTATGGCAGGATGAACCATATCCGAGCCAGGAGAAGTATCTAATCTTAAGTGCTGCAATTTCCGGAACACCAAGTCAGCGCTTAGGTTTACTTCGGAAAGTCCTGTGGAGTTGCAGATGAAACTGTCGTCAGTAAAGTTGATGTCAGCCGGTTGAAATGTTTGAGAGTAATGTGCCGCCAGAAGGCCAGCGGCGTCGCCATCGTTGTTGGTCGGGCCGTTAAGACCTACCAGTTGAGAAACTCCTGTTTTGGCTTGACGAAGAGAGGCTGCATAGCGGAATAGGCTTCTAGGGTTAGAGGCAAATTTGTCCATAAGCTTTGTCTGGTACTGAAGCCTGTCTTCTCTTATAGCCTTCGTGCATATGTTCCTTATATGTTTATATTGCCTAAACCCTCCGTCGTTATCAGTTCGTTTGTATTCTGCCCAACAGTGCCTTTTGCGGCTTAGCAGGCAAAGGGTACGGTTCTTGATTACTGTAGGTGGCTTGCAGCTTTTGGGAACCGTTTGAGGAACTGAATGGTTTGTAGCACATAGGAGCGTGTGCAGTAAGAAGTCCCAATGACCGTCCACATCGAGTTGAGGGTGAACATCCCAAACCACCTGTTGTAGATAGTCATGTAGAGCTGGCACATTCAGCCGTTTAAAATTCCAAGGCGAAATCATTCTTAAGTTATAGAGACATGATAGAGGGAACTTTCCAGACGAGATTTTATGCAAACACTAAAAATGTTTTCCAATAGTAAAGGGGTCAGGAAAGGTAGATTTCTAAAGGGTAATTTCATGACAGCTTAGGTTCCATAGAAATATGTTATGTTTCATTATGGTCAGAGTAAATATGCTCCGTACAGATTTACTTCCTAGTACAGAATGTATTTTTACTGTCTAAATATTGTGATTTTGCAATAAGATATGAGGAACAAAAGGTGTGGTTAAACGTGGTCTGAAAAAAGGTTAAAATATACGACAGGGAGAAGAAACAAATGAATGACAGTACTGTCCAACAAAAAGGCTGCGGAGGGATTCCCATTGTTCTCTTTCTGTTACACCAGCCCCCGAAATCCCTCCAGCTACGCAAAGACACCTTAGAATACATTTCTGTCTTGATTGTCCTCACTAACTCCTTTATATCGACGGGGGTTAAAGGACTTACAACAGTCCGCCTGTACACCCATAAACCTGACATACAATTTACTGCTATACGGCCTCCTCCAGAAATCAAAGCATTCGCAGCTTCTTTATATGTTCCCCTTCTCACCAAGACTAGTAACTTACTATAAAGCGAAACGTTGTCCGGAGGTTTGCGCCTGAGTATGTTCCACGAGTAGACAGAGGAACTACAACCGGTCCCAGTCAGTATCTTCATCATAAAGTCGGTAAGATCTCTACCAACAAGGTTCAGACGCAAAATAGCATAAGGCAACGCATAAGCTTCATAAGTCGAAACTGTGTAGATGGGACTATTTCTAAGCACTGTCCTTCACAGATATTCCTGGTCTATGCACCGGAAAACCATCTACTACAACGGCCTTTTCAATACATATACA